GAAAAATAGGCACACGTGCGTTAGCAAACCCATATATATATATATATAAAGGAGAATATTAGAAAAAAATTGAATAAACTAGAATTAAAAGTTAACTTTTATAAGTTATAAATTCTTAAAATAAACTCTTTTAATATATTTATTGAACATTTTTATAATGATGACTTTTAAAGAAAAATTATTATTGTAAATGTTTTGGGCGGTATTTGTTTTAGCTACCACATATTTCATTATTTCATATCTATTTTTTAAAAAAATCTATCTTCATCCTCATCTCTATGTTAGTATTTGGTGAGTATAATATTTTTATCTCATTTTATTATCAGAATAATAGGTATATTCGTATCTATTTTCTTATTATTTCAAACTTTTTTAATAAAAAAAATAAAGAATCATAATAAAGAAAATATGATATTATTAAAAAGAAATTTTGCACAATTACAAACTTATGTCATTCGTAGTTTTGGCTTTGTCCCACCGACGTTTAAATCTATGTCAAAGCCAATTCTATTATAAAACCGTATTTTTCTGTCAATTTTTTAAGCAATGATTTCTACTGTGATTTGCAATTGAGGTGGGACTTTTTGGAACTCACTTATTTATTATTAAAATCACTGTCCTGTTTAAGGGAATTAATTAATTGGTTTTTCGTTACCCATTTCAGATCCGATTGCGACCTTAAGAACTGATCTTCATTTAATCTTCTTGATAGAGTTTGGTAAACACGAAGATTTAAGAATGATTCCAATCAAGTTTTGATCGAGAGAGACGCAGGACAAAATAAGAGACAGACAAAAAAGAAAAAAAAAGGTGTTCTTGACTATCTAATACCGTTACAATATTTGATGTTAACTATTTTAAACACAAAAAGCAGAATAATTGAAATACGAGGGAAAGAAGAAGATTGAATTTGAAAGAAGTTTAGAAGCTTAGAGTATAGTAAATGAGTCCCCAGAAGAATAAACATCAGAGCTCTTTGTGTAAGAAGGGATTGCAGTTGTCATCCATGGTTTTTGTGTATGCAGGTGAAGGGCTACATAATAGATATCCTAAAACGAAGCTCGGGAATATGGGCATCAGAACTAGTGTCCAACCTAGACGTATTCTGGGACAACATCGAATCAACAGTCTCAAAATCTTCATCTGCGTCCTATTTGTTCCCTCTGCAACAATTTCTCTTCACTTTCCTCTGCAAAGTTCTGGCAGGTGCAGACACTTCTCGTGACCCCAAAATCGCAGAGTCAGGCCATGCCATGCTTAATCGATGGCTTGCCCTTCAGCTCCTCCCCATTACCAGCATCGGCATACTCCAACCTCTTGAAGAAATCTTCCTCCATTCCTTCGCTTACCCTTCCTTTCTCGTTAGTGGAGACTACAACAACATCTATAACTTTGTCAAGCAACAAGGTCATCCTCGTACCGTATCCTACTTTTATTTTAATGTTTGCCGCCGTACTTTTAATGTTCATGCACTGATGAAATTGCTGAATGGGTGATGCAAATAACGTAACAGGGAAGGATACCATAAACAGAGGCGAAATCGGGTTCGGGTTGACCCAAGAAGAGGCAATCCACAACCTACTCTTCGTTCTAGGGTTCAATTCCTTCGGGGGCTTCACCATTTTCCTCCCATCTTTGATTGATGCCGTAGCGAAAGACTCCGCGTTGCAGGAGAAGCTGAAGAAGGAAGCCAGGGAAAACGGCGGCTCAACGCTGACCTTTGACTCCGTCAAAGAGATGCCTCTCGTCCAATCGGTGGTCTACGAAACGCTGCGTATGAACCCTCCGGTTCCGCTGCAGTTCGGTCGCGCTCGAAAGGACTTCCGTTTGACTTCTCACGACTCCGTTTACGACGTGAAGAAGGGGGAGTTGTTATGCGGCTTCCAGAAGCTCGTCATGAGAGACTCTCTCATCTTCGACGAACCGAACCTCTTTAAGCCGGACCGGTTCACGAAGGAAAAAGGGGCCCAGTTGCTGGACTACTTGTACTGGTCCAATGGGCCTCAAAGTGGGTCACCCACTCTGTCCAATAAACAATGCGCCGGCAAGGACGTTGTCGCCCTCACTGCGGCCTTGCTTGTGGCTCACCTGTTTCGCAGGTATGATTCCATCACCGGCGATGGCAGTTCCATCACTGCCCTTCAAAAGTCTAAGTGAACTCAAGGCTAAATTTTTATTTCCACTTGAGATTCTACTTAATCTATGCACACACGTGCAGATAATGATATCTTTTTATCCAAGAGTTTAAATGCAAGATTATGCTACTCTTTCATACCACTGTCATATATCTTTTTATCTTTTTAAATCTGAAGTAAAAGTATGACGAAGCTCGTTAAAACTAAGGTTTGCATGGACACGTGACATAAAGTGCATAGTTCTTGATCTATTGATTTGAGATATTCCCCCAAATTCCCCTGAAGCTCAACATTATTTTTTGGCAACTTTGATAAAATGATTGGTGATATTCTTATCTCTCTCGATAGACTTAAGTCCATGTTTGTGTAAATTTATTTTTGACAAAAAAAGGCAATAATATAATTGCTTATTGACAAATTCCACATAAGCCATATAACAAGTCTGCCCTTTCATACTCTCTCCGTCTTAATGACAAATCTACATAATCCGACCGTGGAACAAACAAACTTTGGTTCAATGCATTATAATACAGGACTTGTTTTCTAAAAGAATTAGACACAAATAAAATAAGTTTTTTCTACAAGCTAGAACGAATTTATGTACACTTCAAAAATCATTTTCTAAGAAAGCTAATACAGAATAATTTCTATAAACTAATTTATGTATAAATCAATTTTACCTTATTGTAAAACTAACTTTAATATGTATGAAGAAATTTATCTAAATATGTCTGCATAAATCCTTCTATTAATAACTAATCCTTCCTCAGTGCATAAACAATTAGGTCGCCTACATTCAGTTAGGTTTAATGCACACCTCAGGCAAACAAAAATGGTATCTCTGTAGTTCAATGCCATATTTCCAGAATAAGCTACAGTCAGAATTGATTTCAAACCAGAACTTTCAGAAACAAGTAGTCACACAATTTTGTTATGTAAGAAGTTTTTCACAAAAAACCTAACACTTCTCATCTTTCAACTGTCTTAAATATATAGTAAGTACCAAAAATGGAGGTTAGAAATACAGCAACATTTGTATTAGGATTTTACAGTTTTGACTCTTAAAGGATATACCAGAATTATACGGGACCTATGATGATTGGCTACTACCCCAACTATATATAACTTCCATTAGAAAGTAGTATGTAGGCCACAGCAGTCTAAGCAGAGTGCAGTTTCCCTTTAGAGCGAGAATTAGATTTGGCAAGCCCTTCTTGCCATCCTTTGTGACGAGCTCTCAGTTCCCATAATGCAGAGAGCTTCTTCTGAGCCACTAAGGCCATCTCAGCCTTCTCCCTGGCTTCCTCACATGTCTCCATTCCTGAATTACACTTGTCTGCTTCTTTTTGATACTGAGATGCAATCTTCTTAGATTCCAGCAGACCCATGTCAGCACGACGCTGATTTTTCAAAGCTTCAGTTTCCCGGAGATTTAGTTCTTCTGACAGTAGCTCTGCAACATTGTTTTCGGTGTCTCCATCCACCTTTGGATCGTGCTTTGCACAATCTAAATGACAATTCAATTAATCGAGGGAAGAAACAGCAATTGGACATGAAAAACAGGCATAGAAACAGCATGCTCTGATGACACAGCTGCAGGCAAAATAAAAATTCTGTCCTCTTCTTCATGCAGACAAATATCAAATACGAGAGTTTGTTTGATTAAATTTGTATAAAAATACTCATAGGAAAGAAGAAGAAAGTTTTTTCATGAACTATAAATTAACTTATGAATAAGTTCATCTATAACAATTCCCTCATGTTAACTTCATGACCATTTCCTATTAGTGATGAAAATGATACATCACACCAAACCATGAATACCATGTCACTCAAACAAGTTTGTTCTTTCATTTGAACACAACATATTATATGCTTCAGAGAAAATGGTTTGCAACACTAGCCGAGTACCCCGAAATTTTGTTTAGCACTGTAGAATACTAGGTTGAAATAAATCAGAACTCTATATTATATACCACAAAATCTTTGCATAACAGATTTTTCAAACACAAGAAAATTTGGCAAAAGAAATAAATCAAATTTTATAAAAGGAAAACACACAAAAAGGCACATGAGATTTCAGATCCTGATAGTTCGCCCAACCTAAAAAGAAACGAGTTAGCTTATTAAATGAGTGAGAGTAACTATGTAACTTCGGCTCTTGTCATCACACAAATATGCTTCAGATTCAGTCATAGAGAGGTCACGATAATAAAGAAAGGTTTACTCATGCAGAGTACATCAGCTGAGATATTTCACAGGAATTCATTCAGGAAACCAACCTTCAAATGAAGAGTTGCTAAGCCCTGCATAAATACAGATAAAGAAACTGGAATAAGCACATGATTGACTTGGTGTGCAATCAAGAGAACGCAACAACAATCATAATGAAACAACAGTCTCAATTGGAACCACTATTGCTTTGACAGCACATACAGAAATAAATAATCTACAGATTTATTAAAGATAAGCAAGCAAAAGCTGTAGAAATGTTTCAAGGCTATTGGGCTTAGGTTAGTATTTCTCTTAATTTAGAATACAAATAGGCTAAGCCATGATACTCTTGTTTTATTGCGAGTTTCATGGTGAATGCTATGTGACAACCACATGTAACCAAGCAAAAGGGGACCCTGGTAATTAATTAAAAATAATTACTTTCACAGTATCATTATACAAGAGACTAATATTTAATTAAGGAAAGTTACAGCCTAATTAAGCTAGGGCAAGCCTATTGAATATTGTTTATGCCACTTCATAAGTCCCCGTATGATTACTTGATGCAACTTGAGAGACCCAGAACACATTTCAATCCAGAAGTAGCAGTAATAACGAAACAAAGAAAAAAGAAGAAGAAGAAGATCTAAATTGGAAGCACATGAGTGATGAAAGAAGTTATTTTGAAGAAAGAAGAAATTGGTAAGATGTTGAAGGCAGAAAAGGAAAAAGGTAAAAGGGGTGGAATTGAACTAGAGGGAAAGTATATATACATTGGGGAATGGAAATGATGGGTTGGGAAGAACAATCACAGACGCAGGGAGTGCAAGAAGAAGAAGAATGGTTGAGGAGTTCGACGAGGTGCCAGTAGAGAGGAGGACCCACTATGTAGCCGGCAATGGACAGCGCTGCCACCCACAAACCAAACCTCACCACAACGCCGCCACAATTCAAACCCATCTCTCTCACAAACTCTGCACTCTGCACTCCGAAAAGAGTCAAAGAAGAGAGAAATTGAAGTCGGTAATGAGAGACAACCTCCTCTTCTTCGCTTCCTTCTGTATTTATTCTTCTCTGGGTGTCATTAAATTCTTTAAAAAAGATATTTTTATTTTCAGTTATTTTTATCTTATCCTAGTACTAAAATATATTTAAAAAGTGACTTCTTTTATGTATATTTTTCAACAATCTTAGATAACATGTTCAAAAGGTACAATTATTTTTCGATATTATGTTAATCTTATCATATATGTATATTATTAATATACAATAATGATTTTTTTATTGTGACGTTATTTCAACACATTCTCACAATAAAAAGAAAATTAGAAAAATTGTATGAATAATTTTTATATTGTTGTTTTTGGGCTAGTTTTTTTTTTTTTTACGTTGAATATCTTTGTCTCTGTGTTGTTTATTTATTATGTTTTTGACTTTTTAAGAGACATTGGTTGTTCCACCACCTGGCCTAATTAAGTTTCTGTTACACTTGCATTTTGGATATTAAAACTTCTGTGTTCTCCTAACTAACTTTCCAAAAATTTTATATTAAGTTTAGGTTTTAATTTTATACTATTAAATTTCAAATTTCTTCTGTGTGAAAGAAAGAAAGAACAAATGAAAGGGCTTACGTTCACGTGTTTTGTTCTCTTTTATTGCAAGAACTATATATCATGTGTTTAAATGCAGGAAAAAAATACAAATATATTTTTTATAATAATTTCAATTTCTCTAAAATGAAAAGTTTATTATGTGATAATTATTAAAAAATAATGATTAAGATGGCAATAAATATGTGTGCATGATAAATAACAAAGTTGTTAAACTTTTGACTATTAATTAATTTTATAATTTAAAGAATTCATCTTAATTTTCTAATCAAGTGTATATTCACGTGTCTATTTCATTTGCAATTTATCTTATGTTTCACATAAAAAACATAGAATTTTTTTTCTTTAAGTTTTTGTTTTGGATGAATAGACATTAAAGTGTTTGCTGACCAATTACTCTTACATTTTTATTAAAAATAATCATTAGAACTATATGAAAACATATAAAAAATTTGAAAACAAAAACACTTTTTTCGTACTCTAATAAATTTCACTTAAAAAAATCGTTAACGTGTATTTTCTCACTTTTCACATTTTCAAACGCTTATCTTACGTTGAAAGTACCAAGTGAATTTTTTTTGTCATTACCTTTTATTTTAACTTTTAGCACTTTTTTCAATTCAACGTTTTCGAACAAATTAGGTAGATGATTGATCTTCCTTACATAACTTAATACCACTCCATATTATCTTATGTTTCAATTACTGTATTCTAACAATGGAACCATACAATGAGAAGGATATGAAGTAGCAAAATACGTTGAAAACATCCAAATCCAATCATCCTTGATAAGCTCTGCAAAAATATAAAAAAAGAAGAGTCAACACCACTGACTTGCATATCGTGGATAAGGGAATTCCATATTTTCCTTTGCCAAATAAACCTTTGAAAAATGGCCAGTAGCACACAACCAAATATGAACAGCAAAACAGTTCTCCTATGCCGGATCCATGACCATTTCTAACAGGTGCTTGCCATCCCAACAACTTGGTAACCAGTGCTGTGAGTTGAATAAGCAAAATAGTTGTACCAGGTACAAAAATGTGAGAGTTGTTGAAAGTGAATCTACCATTGTTTTCCTTAGCACTCTCATTGGATGATGATTGCTCTTTTTTTGTTATTTCAAACACACTGTCTGATAATCCGAATACCTTAAGCAGGACGTGCAAAAATCCAAAAAACCAAGCATTTGTGGTCGTTATCCTTGCCATTCTTTCACTGTTCAACCATGTTCGAATTGACAACCCTGTTCTCAAGTACTCTACAAAAGTACTTATGTTGTAAATCACAAACATAGTGACAAGAATCCATTGCCCGGGTTCCTGCAGACCATTCAAACAACGAAAAATGTGTGCATTGAGTAAGTTATTGGATATCAAGTAATATTGTGAAATTTATGTAACTATCTTCAAACTCTTGTACTTTTTTATAACCTTAAAAGAAAGCACAAAGTAAGCAATCAAAAGAAAGTATGTCGATGGAAGAAATTGCTTAAAGTATGTTATTAATTAAGAAACTGACTTTAATTCTAATTTAATATTATAAAATGGACTTATAATAAATAAATTTGTAATAATAAATCATCTTATTTTTAATTGATGTGATATCTTGAATACATTTTTACACTAAATTATATCTCAAGTATACGAGACTAGACATTAATGATATTTTGATAACGGTCTAATAACAAATGATACAATAAGTTCAATAAATGATAAATTGTTAGGAAATACTTTGTGATATTATATTGAAAAGTATATTTTAAACTTAATTAAATCTTACAAAATATATTTATAAGATGAAATTTACACTTGAGCATATTATAAATTTATTTTATCTTTAGTATATGATTTCTAATTTGAATAATTTTATTACAAAATATAAATTTTGTGATATTATATTGAGAATTATGTATGCAAGCTTAAACTTTTGATTACGAAGAGATTTTTATCTTTATGAAAATTGAAGTTTAAATATTCAATGAATAAAAATTAGTTTATCTATGAGTTTGAAATTTGCATGTGATCTAAGTTGATACCTTGGGCAAGAAAGTATAGTTGTTGATGATGCAATAAGCAGGAAGAAGAGTGTAGGAAATTTCAGGAACAGATCGTACGGCCCAAGTGAGCACCCAAAGATAGCCCAAGCACTGTCTGAATTGGAGCTTACCAAACAGGGTTCCAAAAATTGGACAGTGTTTGCTTAGGAGAATATCAAGCAACCCTGAGGTCCATCTCTTTTGTTGACTCATTACACTTATGATATCCTGAGGTGAGCAACCCATAAAGGGTATAAGTTCTGGTGCACACGTTTCAGATCTCCATCCTTGTGTGTGTATTTTCAGCCCTGTAAGTGCATCTTCTGATGTTGATCCATACATCCAACCCACCTAAAATTAACACCCATGCCAAAAAAAGTGAACTTTTTCAACAACAAATTAACTTTTAATTACATTTTTTGTTATGAATATATTTGTTTTCAACAAATAAGAAATTTCACACTTTCAGGTTAAAAAATAAACTTTTAATTTAATTTAATTTTATAAAATTAATTTATAAAATGAAATTTATATTTTTACGGAAAATGTTTTTTTAATAATTTTTTTATAACTTTTTTATAATCGTTTAATTATGAATAATTTGAGATTAATTCGTTTCAAATATAGAGACCAATAAAATAGTGATACATAGTCTATTATCAACAAATTATTAAAAAAAAGTTGTTAATCTTTTTCCTATATATTATAAAGGAAAAAGGTTTTTTTAACAATTTTTTTAACAATATTTTTACATAAGTCTAGTCTACGTGGTAGTTTGTGGGATTTAAAAGAGTGACTTGTGAAAAAATTATTAAAAAAAAGTGGTTAACTTATCATTGTTCATTTTAAAAAGCTTACCTTTTTACCCCAAGCAGTGCCGTATTCATATTCAGAACTGGCAACTTCTTTGGCTGCCTCAACATATTTCCAAATCTTATCATTGGAAGCCAATGTCTTCCCTTCCAAAGCATTAGCAGCTGATTCCAAAAACCTCTCTGAACTTCCAAATATTCTTTTCTTTTCTGAGAGTTTCCCTGGACACACATTTATATTATAATTTCAAAAGTTGAAGTTTCTTTTCAGTTGACAAAAATATCCAGACTTTTGAAACTGAGAATGAGTATAACAATTTTATAAACTCATAAACGATGACAGTGAAATCAAAGTATACCATGTGTGATGTCATGATGCTTCTTTCCATTTGGAATGTGATGATCAGGAGAAAGGCCATAAATTACTTTTCTTCTGTGCAAGCAATTTGTTCCAACGTAAAATATTCCTTGGATCCCTGCTAACCCACCACCTACGTACTGCATTGCACAAAAGGAGGATGTCTCAAATCAATCTTAAAACTCTTATTTTTCGCAATTCATATTAACNTAAAAAAAAGTGGTTAACTTATCATTGTTCATTTTAAAAAGCTTACCTTTTTACCCCAAGCAGTGCCGTATTCATATTCAGAACTGGCAACTTCTTTGGCTGCCTCAACATATTTCCAAATCTTATCATTGGAAGCCAATGTCTTCCCTTCCAAAGCATTAGCAGCTGATTCCAAAAACCTCTCTGAACTTCCAAATATTCTTTTCTTTTCTGAGAGTTTCCCTGGACACACATTTATATTATAATTTCAAAAGTTGAAGTTTCTTTTCAGTTGACAAAAATATCCAGACTTTTGAAACTGAGAATGAGTATAACAATTTTATAAACTCATAAACGATGACAGTGAAATCAAAGTATACCATGTGTGATGTCATGATGCTTCTTTCCATTTGGAATGTGATGATCAGGAGAAAGGCCATAAATTACTTTTCTTCTGTGCAAGCAATTTGTTCCAACGTAAAATATTCCTTGGATCCCTGCTAACCCACCACCTACGTACTGCATTGCACAAAAGGAGGATGTCTCAAATCAATCTTAAAACTCTTATTTTTCGCAATTCATATTAACGGTTTTGCTATGTGTCGTGAAACTTGACGCACCATAAACTTTGCCACAAGTTGATTTCCAAAAGGGTCATCCTTCAGTCCATCGTAGAATTGCTGGATACATTGTGCAAATGCAACTTCTTTCTCTCCCTTTGAATCTAGTAAAATGCAGAGGGCGTGTTGGACAATCTTTGGATTATGAACATACATGTCACAATCTACGTTCAGGATAAAAGGAGCATTTGTCATCACTCCAGAAATTCTTGTCTGTTCATGATACAAAAAGTAAACATTTGAGATCATGAAAGAATTCTGAATACAAAATAATGATACTGATTACTAGCAGTAACAGAATAATATTATGAAGAAAAGAAACTTACCAACACATTCATGGCACCAGCTTTATGATGATGTGGATGTTCCTGCTTCTTTTCTCTAGATACGTAGACTAAGTGTGGCAACTCGTCTGAAAGACCTTTGTTTTCGCATATTACCTAACAACATGTGCAAAAGTAGTTGGTTTCGCATGTTACCTAACAACACAGTGCAAAATTATTTGTTTTGAAGCTGTATGCGTTGTCTTTCAGGAAGTAAATTAAACCATTACTGATATGATATCATCGAAACAATATATAAAAATCAAATATCGTTGAGTTTAATTTTATTCTAATTTAATGTAAAGTTCAAATAAAATCAAATTAATATTTTATAGTTCGATTTAGATGAGTTTTTATGATTTTTTTTTCTGCTAATATACAATTATTAAACTTTTTTTTAAAATAGTAAAACAAATATTCGCAGAATAATTATCACACTTTTTATAATAAAAAATTGTGGAATAAAAGCATAAATTTTGAACTTATTTTACAGTAATTATTATATTTATAATCTCAACTTTCTCTTATATTTACAAATAAATTATATAATGTTATAACTAAAAGTTATAATATAAAATTGATATTATATTTTTGAAAACTATAAATGTAGTATAAATAAAATTGCATTAATCTATAAAGCAACAAAGTATTTGTTAGGTTTATTAAAAACAGATTTCGAAAATTTGATATTAATGAGTAGTGAATAAGTTTATATATAAGAAAATTTTCAATTCAAAGTTTTAAGATATTAGATTTATACTTTCTTTTTTGTTTATATGTTATAGTCAAATATCAATTATAGACTTTAATACGATTAAGAAAAATACTTTAAATCTAATTT